CTATTTTCACTCCCTCTGGATCTGCACTAGACTTGTAAAGTTGTATTCCATAGCCACGTAGTGAATAATTTAATGAAGTGGTTTTGTTTTTAGGCTTCACGCGCCTTCAAGAAATTCATGCCACTGTTCGACAGAGTCCTGGTAGAGCGATTTGCACCAGAGTTGAAAACGAAAGGCGGGATCATGATTCCAGAGAAGGCGTTAGGAAAAGTATTAGATGCAACAATTGTAGCAGTTGGACCAGGTGCAAGGAATGAGGTAGGTGTATAACATGCAGGGTTATGTTACGGTAAGCATGGCGGGCGTGGCTACCCTATCTAGTTTGTGTATGTGTGCCCTTCCCATTAATTCCATGTTGTATATTATGACTGTATTCCTTCCTAGCTGTCAAATAAGAAGTGTGTTATTCGTCTTAGTGTCTATTCTTTGGTTTGCATCAATTGGTGTCCTTCCAACTTGCTTTGATATGCAATATATTTGTGATCGAACCCAATACAACTCTTGTCACTTACTAAAATAACTACATTTGTTTTCTGTCTTGGCTAAATCGACTTATCAGCCACATCCACATGTGACTGTGTTTCTTATTAAATACTGCTTGTTGAGATGTCACGTGCCACTATCTAACCAAGAAAAAGGATGTTGTCTATAAGTGTTGCAACACTTTGTAATAACGGGAGCATTTGTTTACTCAAAATGCTTCCCTATATCACTGGTTTTTTATCATTTTACTATTTCTAGTTATGTAGTTATTTGTGCTGGTGTAATGTATGCAGGCTTTTACTTGGAAAATTGGCATAGCAGTTATTTACACTTTTATATCGTAAAACTGATGCAGTGCAATATATTATATAGTAATTCTCATGTGCGCATGTGCAGTGGCGTAGACAGGTCCTCAGTTGTGGGGGGATAATTTCGCTGTTACTTCCATTGCAATGTATATGAAGAGTGTGCGCGATTAGCGCACACCGCGAGCGGAAAAGCTCTTGGATTTTAGCAATTTAGAACCTTCAAGATGTCCGTTTTTGAGGGAATTGAAAAAAATTGATATTGTAAGTGCAATTTTGTGAATTCTAGGGTAATTTTTTTCGTTGGATCCCAGAGGTTTAATAACACGCACCCCCCTCTCCCCACACACACAACCAGTGGCAGATCCAAAAGAAAATTTTAGGGGGGGG